ATACTGTGTATTCTTTTCCCTATTCCATACTTTTAACTTTAATACATTTTATAAAATATGTTTCAAGAAACATATAAATTAATTTATAATTTATATAACTTGAAGATACATAAAATCATTTTACAGGTAATCCTCAGGCCGAATGTGCCCCACCTAATAACGGACCATACCTCTCTATGACGGCCCATGCCCCGTTCTCAAACGATTTCTATTTTTATTAATGACATGCACATTAAATTTTGATACAATCATGGAGGGCTTAGATTATATTTTTTAGGTATTTGTCTTTATTATGGAATATCTTTGATTATTAAATTGAAAAAATTTTCGGTACAATGATTTGATTAGCTTAGGAAGCCGGTAGTGCCCCGCTCTCCCCTACTTTTTACATGGTATAATTTTCACGTGCCAGAAAGTTAGTATTTTCTGCAGGATTGTAGATTTTTATCAAAAATTATACTTCTTTTTAACTTTATCTCTTTTGTATTGAAGGGTAGCTTGTTTTCCAAATTGAGTTTTCGTAGCTGAGAATAATTTCTTAAGCGTATTGTTAAATACACTAATGTTTATTTTGTAAAAGAGGTTGCAATTCCATCTAGTATAACCAACTATTTATTTCTTGTTTATTTCATCCATACGATTTCAGATTGTCAAGTGTGTGGTTGTAAACTGTTGTAGAGAATAGAGCAATATTTTCAAAGACATACCTATGACAAACGATTTTTTACAGCTTCTATTTCCGTTGCGCCGAAAATGTAAATTTTTACTTGATATAACAAAGCCAGAAGCAATTAAGAAAAAGGGTAGATTAGCAGATTTAGTTATGAGACAATCAATTTGTCTAAGACCAGTTAATGCAAACTCGAATTTTCTCGTACAGTATGATTTCTCTCGTCCATTGATTCGTCAGGAGATTATTGGTGAGATATACTTACACTGCTTGATTTTTACTTTCAAAAATATTTTACAACTTTCATGTTTTCTTAGGCATAACCTGCAAATCATATAGTCAGTATGTTGCATCTTAAAAGCAAAAAAAATTATATACCAAAAAGTGCATGGGAAATCTAGTCATAGTGATCAGAAAGCCTAGAAAGTCATCATAAAAAGAAACAAAGAATAAGTGCGCAAAGTAGGTGACGTGGCGTCAGTACTTAATTGGTTTGAGAAAGAAGATATTTTAATAGACATAAATTACGGTGATCAGTGTAATGATAATGGTGATGATAGAGATACGAGTCTTTTCTTAATAAGTGACTTGACAAATTAGCTTGTTTAACTATTCACTTTAACTAATAATTAAAAATACTGTCGAAATACTTTTGGAAGGTAACAGTTTTTTTATAATTACAGACCTTCAAAATTAGCCTGTTTCACTGTTCAATCTAATTGATTAATAATATTTTCAGAATTTTTGTAAAATATTTATTCATTGCAAAAAATTGCTGATAAATTGTTTTTGAAAAAAACCACGTACATTTGGGAAAGGGATGATCTGAAAAAAGACCACGGATGATCACGTAGGGGCATGAAGGGGTTGATAAACTTTAAAAATGAGGCCATGTGGCTTATGGAAAGACCGTCAGTGAAGAGAAGCTGTGCAGAAGATACTACAACACAAAAAAGGTATGCTAACGAGAGGACTTTCACTTTTTTTATAACAATTTATTGAATCAAATAAACTGCTTTGATGCAATAGAGCTACCCAATTGATGATTTGGAGTTTTCTTAATGTATAAAGTTCTGTGTAGCGTGGCTAGTTATCTTGAAAAAAGAAAAAAAAGAACGTATACAAGTGAATGTTTCTTTTCCACTTTGATAACTCGGTAATTTAAGGATTCACTAATTGGTATGTACGAAGGTATCAAGCAGAATAGAATAATACTTCAAAGTTCTAAGGACTGCTGGGATCAGTACTTAAAAATAATTTTCGTTATGTTATGCTTGCGATCGTTAATTTTGTGCACACACATGATTAATCTAATATTATAACCTAAGTAAAGTACATCAGAGAGAAAATGATGTAGAGAATGGTTACTAAGCAACTGTACTTTTGACTGGTAATTCCCCAATTGAAAATGTCTAATAAAAACTGATAAAATTTTTTTTTGTCTGTTTATATTCAATTTTTGCACTAGGAAAACCACATAAAAAACAACAACGTTCAAAAGTTGATTTTTCTCATATCTATTTTTTTACCAGCACAAGATTGAACATAATCAAGATGACAAATTAAACACTATCATCTGGATGGCAACACCAAAACAGGGGGGTTCAAGTATTTTACGTGAAACTGTAATAAAAAGTTTTTTTCTTACTTTTTTTAAGATTCTATGTAAAATACTTGAACCCCCCTGTTTTGGTGTTGCCATCCAGATGTTACAACTGAAATTGTCAATTTACTTATGTTTAATCTCATGCTAGTAAAAAAATAGATATGAGAAAAATTAACTTCCGAACGTTATTGTTTTTTATGTGGTTTTCCTAGTGCAAAAACCGAATAAAAACAGACGAAAAAAAATTTTATCAGTTTTTATTAGACATTTACAATTGGGTCATGCAAACGTCATACTAGATAAATTAAGTAATGCCCTTACATTTTTATATACTTACGGCACAGCAAGGCATTGATGTACTTAATGTCAGGTTTGCGTTTAGTACCAGTCCAAAGTTAATATAATTTAGAATGACTTCATTAATGTACGAGTACAAGAAAGTATATAATACTATGAGTTCCATAGAAAAAGCAAGCTGTGCAAGAGAATGAAAAAAAACAATTTACCATTTTATATTCGAATTCCATAATTTTGCAAGGCTAACATTTCATTTGAAAGCATATATTTTACGGCCAGTGTATAAATGCTTCTAAATTTCTTAAGAAATGAAAATGGATTACATTAAACTTACCTGACATTTTACTTTTGTTAAATGGTTACTTTTTAGGAGATTTAATAATTTGACGTTAATGTCTTATCTCTGTGACTGTGTCAGAAATCTGAAACTTTTACAAAAAAAACTATTCATAGTACTGTCACTTGCAACCGTACTCAGTATACTAAAATTTGTGTTCCAAGCCAATCACTGATTAGAAAAGTTATATCTTACAATAAGTATCTTTCTACAAGTGTTTTTTTTCATTTTTTACTCAGTACTCAAAATCCGTTAGTATTTACATGAATTTCATGATTTCACTAGGTGAATGTTAACGCTTTGTCGTTTTAAAGGGGTTATGGTAAATAAACTAAACTCAAGCTTTATTAACAAATTCTAGAACTATCTCACTTACAACAGATTCGAAACATATATGTAGAAGTACACCTTGATACTATATATTATTGTTACATATAGAAAGGCATACGAAAGGCTTCTTAGTTTTGAAAAATTTGCACTCAAACAAACGCATCAAATAACAATTTGAACATGTAGGAAGTATGTTGTTAGAAAAAAAAAACATTCTTTTGTGGGATAAGTTTCTGACATTTGTAAAGTGAGTTAAAAAAACTTTCTTTATGTTTGCTTCAAGAACCAGCCTAAAATTTTTAAGTCATACAAATACTTGACTAACTTAGTTTTCAACAAAATATAATTTAAATGAAGAAAATAACCTTACATTTTTTTTAATGCAATGCATAACTTTATTTTGAGAACCTTTTTTTCGTAAAGTGATGAGCCCATTCATAAGAATGTCAATATTTGTGAAAGTGTTTGGTATATCTATAAGAAAATTGACTACTAAGTCTTCAAGCATCCGTAGGAATACTGTGAGCCAACGTACTATACTGTCCAGAAGCTTATTAAATTTTGAGAAGTCATTATTAAGTTTTTTAAGAGTTCCTGAACCTTTGAGGATCGTCACATCATTATCATAACTTTTATCTATCAGTATACATCTTGTACAGAAGTTGAACAAGTAATAGCTACATATTATAACACTAGACGAATAAAAATATGAAGAACGTAGGGCACTATTTAACAATGCTGTGTATACTTTGTGCATGTACATGTGGTGGAAAGACTGAATGTGTGAATAAAGCTCGAATATCAGTGATTGAAGATTTAGATCAACAAGAATGTACTGATAAGCTAAAGAAATACATTGTTCCTGAAAAACAAGACCAAATGACTGAACGGAAGAGGGAATTTTTGTATGGAGGATTTAATTTTGGTCTGTATACTCATAAGACATATTAGTTCATTTGATATTTTAAGAAATTTAAGTAGCAAAAAAATAATTTGTCACAAAAAGGCAAGATGTGTTTCTATTCAGCTGTCAGGTTGCAGAACTACATAACTTGTTAATGTAATATCGGTCCACGTATACATGCACACCCGTTAAAGATAAATACTTAAACAACATACTACAATACATTCTTTTTTACGGTGTTTGTCACTGTTCAGAATTTCTTGTTTTTATGAACGATCCGATCTCTGTTTTAACAATTTATCAATGCAGTAAATTATTCTTCTGCTTATTATTATTTCATTTCAAAAATAAAGTTATGAACTTAGGATTATAAGTATATCAAATACATATGTAGCATCAGGGATCTACTTCAATGTCTCTATTTTTTTCCTCTCCTTTCTCCGGAATTTTCTAACACTGACTAAAAAAAAACGACTATCTTTAGGATCACTTTCCTTTTTTTTTTCTTAACTATTTATTTTAGCCGTAAAAAGTAAGAGTACTCGCCCACCTTTTGCATCAGCGATTAATCTTCATCAATACCTGAGATTCAAAATATTCTTCCCTAAACAAAAATCATAAGCTTTTTGCACCTGAACGTGCTCCAAACAATCAGTGCATGTCTTCTAGATTCCGTGCAAGAAAAAATACTATAAACTTTTAGCACCAACAAAAGATACAGAAGTGTGCAACAAATATCGACCCTAACTTGGAGTATATTAGACAGGTAGTCAATGTCCCCATTTTTTTTTGCGTGACAGCAAAACAATGCTTATATAATATAAGTCGCAGATGTATGACAAATATTGACCATAGTAGGACATAGATCAGACTGGAAGTGAATGTCCCCCAGTTTTCTTGTGAAAAACGAAGCACCACCCATAAAAAATGCACAGATACAACAAAAATTAATCATAAAGCTAGACAGGTGGTGAATGATCTTCAGTTTTTGTGTGCAAAAAAAAAAGAATCGAAAACTTTAAGCACCGATAAAACGTGCAAAAGAGAGACAAAGCTATTATTTAAATAAAATCAATGATTATCATCTATATTACTAAAATTATTATTGTTACTGTTGTTACTACTACTACTACTACTACTACTACTACTACTACTACTACTACTACTACTACTACTACTACTACTACTACTACTACTACTACTACTACTACTACTACTACTACTACTACTACTACTACTACTACTAGTGTTACTATTATTATTAAAATTACTATCGGTACCATAATTTTTATTCTAATGATTATTATTGTTCTAATAACAATCCTTAAGAATCAAGTCCACTTTAATATTGGTACGAAGTACTTGGTAAACTTTATGCTGACGTAACACATATACCTAATGTTGTATTATCCATTAAGGTAGCTCCCTTGTCAACTTCTCTGGTCAAGTAGAAGAGTTTCACTTGTCTACGTATACGTAAATACATATATCAGTGTTGGTATTCTGCTAACGTCTGTCATTTATAGCCTTAAAGCTGATTTTCACATCTTTCTTGGCAAGTATCTTTGAAAAATGCCCCATTACCAGCATTTTACATGACAGGATTGAAAAAAAAACAGAGATTTTCTAAAAGTACATTGTAAATTGTCTGCTCAGATTTTTTTATTGTGAGATAGGAAATGCCTATAAAGTTAATGTTTTAATGTTCTGCCATAAAAGTTCGAAGGTACAACTTTAAGCTGAAATATCTCGAGATTTTTCTCCACTTGGGGTATAAATAAGGACACCATTTGATTCAGTGGATTAAAAAGGCAATGCCCTCAGCCGTCTACCTTTTGACCAGACAGTTATATAAGCACCACGAAGGCCTATCATAAATAACTTAGTTTCTAACTTGATTAGCAGCAAGTGAGTCATAAGACTAACGAACTCTCACGTATCTGATGTAAATGTGGCATATTGTTAAATTGTACTGTATATTGCGTCGTTGTGCGTATGTTACCATATTAACAGCTATTTTAGCCTGACGAGGGTAACACAAACGATCAGCAAAAAGTTGCCATATTAAACTAAGAAATGCTAATACTCTGAATGTTATAATTCCTTGAACTTCGCGTCCAACAGATCATCAATCACCTAACTTATATAAACATATTATTTTAAAATTTATGCGGAAAGTTACGTACACTCTAAAATATTGTGAAAGAGTTTATATTATGATGTACATACAAAAAAAAATGTACGAAAAAATAAGCAAAAATAACTTTTTTTTTCAGTTAGCAATAAATGCGCTTTTTAATTTTCAATTTTAGAAGAAAATAACAGATCCTGGTGAAAAACAATAATGATGTTGTAGTTAAATGTATATAAATAAAGAATAACTTATTATACATAAGCGCTTATACAAAGAAAAAGAAGAAAAAAAAAAAAGAAATACAGTAATTAAAAACGAAAGGTCTTATTGCACTTAATAAGCATCCGTAGGAATACTGTGAGCCAACGTACTATACTGTCCAGAAGCTTATTAAATTTTGAGAAGTCATTATTAAGTTTTTTAAGAGTTCCTGATAACGTCTCGAAAGCACTATGTACGAAACCTAAACATTTCTGTGGACCAGGTATCAAATTTATAATTTTTTGATTGAAATTTTTCAATCGCACTGAATTGATTTAATATAACTTTAATTACTGACTATTTAAATAAATAATTATATCCGTTGCGTTTTTAGTGGACTTTCGTATGTGTTACAAGGTGTTCGTTAATATAGTGTTTTAATTTAGGTCAGTAAGAGCCCTGAGTTACTTTTTTAAGGATGCGTATATTATTAATTTTTTTTATTTTTATGAACTCATAAGGTGGCCACTTAGTTTCCTGAGTCATCTGTTGATAGATGCTTATGTTACTTATTTAAAATATTTGAATTCCTGCGCTGCATAATCCATTGCAATCAAAAACACTAGGACTGCATCAAAAAGAAGTAAGCCAGTGTTGGGCAGTTGTAAAAAATACACAATCTGCTTTTAGTACTGAAACAGCGTTCATTTATTCTCTAGCAACTATTAATACCAGTTCCTAAGTATGAAAACATTGAGGTGTTGTATTTTACATCTCTGTTAGAAGTGGTGAAACATTGGTTTTAGCTATTGCATGCATGTAGACTAGAAATTAGAGCTATATTTATTGACAGTCTACTGCATCAAAAATAAGGTAGCAGGCGTTGAACAATCAGAAGGGGTACATGATTAATTTTTGATAATAACATAGTATAGAAGTGTTCCCTGACAAATTGCAGCACTCGTTACACCCGCTTTCGATAGGGAAAAATATGATGCTGATAGATTATACGCCTAAATAAGAAGCAAAAAGTCCTTGCATTACATGCATGAACGTGCACGCCTTGAATTTTTCATACTAAAAATATAAGTGAGGCAAATTTGAAGTAAAATAATAATTGATAGAAAATATTTTGCTTGACCCACTTGTAATTTTATGTTTAGTTTGTCCCTTTATAAGTTGTAGATAAAATAAACTTAAAATTTTTTTCAATAGTAAATAACGAGACTTTGACATTTTTATACCTATTTGAAATATCGTACCCTCCTTGTCTAATTACGTATAACGTTTTATATTAAAAATAACCCTTCAGACATTAACTTTAAGTTTCAGCGAATTTTTCATCAGTCCATACAAAAATCTGTTACAAACATCAGGTTTGCCAAAAGTAATAGAATGACTGGTCGTAACACCATATCTATTACCATCCAAAAGTCAAAACAGGATTAATGAAACGTTTGGTAGTAATAAATCATCAGGGGACTCTTATTCTTGATCAAATTTGAAGCGCGTGCCATTCACATGCTGATAACCTAATAAGTTATACACTAATCTCTCTTAAACATTTAAAAATAATGTAAAATACAACGAAACGAACTAATAAACATACAAATAACTTTGTTAACTTAAACTTGTTCAGCAATAAACTGAAAAACTTATTGAGAACTAAGTTTTTCTTTATTGTTTATAGTCAGTTATAACATTTAGTTGGATTCAAAGAATTAAATTATTTGTAACAAAAAACAGTGTTAATTAATAATTTCAGTTATTAAATGAAATATAAGACAGTATTATCAGAAAAAACATGCTATAATAAAATTGACAGCAAAGTTTTTTAAGTATCTTTAGCTATACGACAAGTGTATAGGATGACGAGAATGCATTAACTATAAAATCTGAGAAAATATTAATAATAATGGCATTAAATTGAATATCATAGCACATAACGACATACAAAATTCACAACTTCTTATGAGAGTGAAGTGACAACTACATGTCAATTTTATAACCAGAGTCGCAGTCGTAGACGTTATATTCAATCATCATAACATTATTATCACAGTTATCACAATACTCACTGATGCTCTAATTGATACTATGATATTAAAGAAACCGGTACCCCAGAATGGCTTGTTTTAATTTCTTAGATACTATTAGATTTTAGATATTAAGTATAGAGTAGGGTTAAGTGTGTGAGCATGTGTGACAGATTTGAGCGTTACGTTAGAAATATAACTACCGTAAGCGGTAAGAAGTTGTTTTGAAATCATTGGAAGATTTTATTGAAGTGCATAGTTTTATACTGTCTAGCCAACATGGTTTTTATTCTGTATTTTGCCATAATGTCTTGTTTATAATTGTTCAGTGAAGAAATATAAAAAAATTTATTGAAAGCACACCAAATGTACGTAGGTATATTCATTCCAAGGATAATTGCACCATCTCTCTTACACTAAATCGTTTCGCAGAAGATATATATTTATAATCGTCATTTTATTATCTGTCATTATTAGGAAATGAAAGATGGTTAAAAAACTTTTCATATTCCATATTCCTTTTCATAAACTTGTCATATTACCTCACCGTATAAAAACAGTTTTTCTGTCATGTCTTTCTTTTAAATTTCAATCGCATGAGATCTCGTAATAGAATTATAAATTTTTTTTTTTTATTGACAAAATTGCTG